TAGCTGGGAAAATAAAACTGCTTTTAATTTTAAATAAGGAAATAGAGACCCTGGGCAGAAAGGACCCGTGCTACCTCCAGCATCAGCTCCTGTCCCTTTGGCCAAAATACTGTTTATTTCGTCGATATGACAACAGTTCCCATTCATCTGGCCAAGCCAGGCCCTCACTGTGACTGACATGAGAAAAAAGAAGTTGCGCCGCCAGGCACTGGGGTAGGCTCCCCCAAAGAGCAGCGAGTCCGGCCTGGGAAGCAGGCAGGGTAAGTGATGGAATTTGCTGAGCACCTTGCAGCTCATGACACCCCTTCCTGGAAGAGACTCTGCCAGTGGAACCTGCCCCACTGGGGCCACGTCCCCAGAGGCTTAGATGCTCCAGACCCAGTGTGGACCTTCTCTAGGGGCCTGTCCCTGCCCAGGGGGCCAGGGTTAGTAGACCCAAAGCATGACATACGGCCCTGTTCCATTTTCCCCCAGTTCTCCTCCCCCCCAGCAGCCCCAGTGTCAAGGTCTGGGTGCAAGATCAACTCAGCTCTCTTTCCTAGCACTGTGGACTGTGACCTGCAGGCGACAGGGGAGGGGAGAGAAGGTGGCTTGGCAATCCAGCCACCCACCCTGGGACCTGGAACCTTTCTGTGATACCCTCTCAGGGCACTGTGGGTTTGTGTCTCTGGGAGGTGTGTCTGTTCCATGAACCTCTGGAGCCGAGCACAGAGACAGCCGCTTGCCTGCTGGGGCTCAAACCCATGGCCTTTCCTCTCTGTAGCTCTAGGAGAAGGCTGGGAATACGTGCAATGTCCTGTGGGTCAAGAATCCCAGCTTGTCTGTGTGCTCTGCCCCCTCCCTGCTGTGCAGAGACATGGCCCGTTGCATTCCAGCAGAGGGCTGTTCAGAGGGACCTGGCCTCCCCAGGCCTCAACTTCCCAATCCTTACAAAAGGACAATATTCCCTTCCCTTGAAACCACAGAACTTTAGAAGGAGCCTTAGAATCCTCCTACCCACATACCTTTGTTTACGAAAGAAGAATCTGAGGCACAGGAGGAGCAGGTAAGTCATATAAGGTCACACAGCCTGGGTTCCAGTGCCAGAAGGAGACCATGCATTTCTAGGGGGTGGGGGGACTCATCCCCCAGGAGCTCCATCAGTAGGCCTGGGGACCCAGGAATCTACATCTCAAACACGCTCCCCTGGTGGTCCGCACACAGGTTCTCATCACCCCTGTGTGTCCTTTTTCTCCCCACTTGACTGGGCTGCTGTAAAGACAAGTGAAGGGACAGACCAATATGAAAGGCTGTCGAGATTGCGGCCCACTGAGAAGGGTGTGACCCTGCTTCCCCGGCTCCCAGACCCCCCGGACCCTCTCCCTCGTCACCTGAGTGATCTTCAAGGCCTGCTGCTTCCAGGTCTGGAGCCCCTTCTACTTAGAAAGAGAGGGTCACTGTCTCCTTGGCAACACACTGTCCCAAACATTTGTCTCACAGAGAACTACCAGACCAGGTGCCGAATCCAGGCCAGAAGGAGGTCAGCCAGCTGTCACCCAGGAGCACGCAGGAGGGCCGGGGCTGGGAATATGCTCTCTCTCCCATTCTCCGCCCATCAGGACGACTCAGGTGTGGGTTGGACGCCTCTGCAAGCTCATCTTGGCCACTAACTGCGTGACCTTGTGTAAAACACTTCACCTCTTTGCACCTTGTTGGGTAACTTGGGGGGAACATCGGTAAACAATACAGAGACTGTACGCTCTAAGATAGGGCCACCAGGAAAAACACAGGACAATTAACTGTTGAATTTCAGGAAAACGACAAGTAATTCTGCGTCTAAGTATATCCCAAATACTGCATGGGGCATCCTTAAGCTAAAATATAATTTGTCATTTATCTGAAGTTCAGCGTGAATCAGGCCTCCTGGGGTTTTGGGGTTGTTTCCTTGTTTGGGGCTTGTTTGGTTTTCTGTTTTGTTTCGTTTACTAAGTTGGCTGCCGGGCATTCTGGCAGGCACCCCCTCACCCTCTTCCTTCGCCCCAGCACAAGCAGGGCAGCTCCTGGACGAGGGGACCAGCTGCCCCCCGCTGCTCCTTCCTCCCCACCGTGGTTTGCTCCATGACCGAGGGCTGCCGTCAGCACGGTGGCCGCACAAGAGGCTTGCCTGGCAGATGAGCATATTTTTCTAACTGTCAGAGCTTGTCAAGGTCACTTGCTCAGCTCCGATTCTCTTGGGGAGGAGGGGGAGAGGCAGTGAGAACCGAATCTCCTTTGCTCCCCCCTCCAAGTCTCCTCCCCTGGGAGAGGTGGGCGCCTGCAGCTCGTGCCTCATGGAGCCTGATTTTCCTTGTGGGTGGTCATCGTGGCAGAAGGCTGGACACCAGGAGGTCCCAGTGACTCTCTGAGGGATCATGGGACAGGTCCTTCCGGGCACCTCTAGGCCTTCTGTTTTAGAAAGGGTAATTATAACAGCATTGTTCTAAGTGCCATTTTGTGTGTCTGGCATTGTTTTAAGTACTTTATAGATGAGCCTCTTTATCCCTCCCAACAACCCTAAGAGGAAGGTACCAGTAGCTCCCCCATTTTACAGAGGAGGATGCTGGGGGACAGGAAGGTTGCACAACTAGTAAGAAATCGAGGCAGGATGTGAACCAGGCAGCTCAGTGCCAGTCTGGGCCCTGAGCCACCATGCTCTGCTGCCCCTGTGTACATATAACAGACTCAAATGCAGGAGGGGAGGAAAGAGAGCGACCCACACCTAGTGAGCACTTACCCTGAGCTAAGCATCACTGTCCCCTTGACAGAGCTGATTGCATCCAAACTTCACAGCAAACATGGTGGGTGGGCCGTCACTGCATTTGAGGTTAGAGGCAGAGAAACTGAGGCTCAGGGAATTCAGGGACTTGACTAGGATCGTGAACCTGGGTCTAGATTGGAACTGAGCTGCTCACATCCGATCTGTGTGAATTCCTCCACCCACCTGCCTGCCTCAGGTTCATGGCTCCTTGGGACACGGCCCTGGCCCCAACCATGGGCGGCCTGCAATGGGGCCAGGTCGCTGCTGGTGCTCCACCTGGTGAGGAGCCTCCATCCTCTCCTGCTGAGTAAGACCACCCTGCTCCAGGGTGGGCACTGCTCCTGGCTCTGAACCTGTCCATCCCTCCACCCAGTCCCACGTGCCCACCTGGTGCTCTTTTCCTCCCCTGCTGCAGTCAGGAGGAGGAACATTTCACATCCTTACTTGCTCTTTACTGGCACCCACATTATCTGCTTTCAATCCTGAAACTGCCCAGTCAGATGAACCGCACAGTGTCACCCACAACCCAGTTCACACAGGGATAAGATGAGGCTCAAAACAGCTAAGTGACCTGGCTGGAGTCACCCAGGTTTTAAGCCGGGACTCAAACTGATGTCTTCAATCTCCAAATCCAGAACTCTGTGGAGTCTTCAGAGGTCAAGCGGAGTGCTTTAGAGATGAGGAAACGGAGGCCCAGAGAGGATATGTGACTTGTTCAAGGTCACAGCCATCCATGACAGAACTGAGATTGAAATCCGCAGCTCCTGACCCCATAACACCTTACCCTCATGTGGAAGCCGAATGTTACCAATAATACCAACTCAACTAACAGTGGGGGTTAATGCACAAATAGGAGCAATCAGAAACAAGTACACCCCCCACCCCAGCCCCCCATGAAGTCTTTACTTGGACATTCATGTCTCCCGGGCAGTATTCTGGTGGGGAGGGCCAGGGGAGCTGGGCAGTGAGTAAAGGCAAAGTTTAAAGCTGGGGGTCTCTGCATTTTGCAGGCAGATCTTTTTAGGTTCACTTGGTAGAGTCAGCCTGGGCTGAGAGCCAGCTCAGGGGGCCGCACCTGCTGAGGAGCGTCTGCTGGGGTTCATGTTTGGTGAGGCATGGAAGGAATTTAGGGGATCGATGAACAGCGTCCTTGACTTCTCAGTAAATGGACAAGAGATATACCACAGCTAAATCTGCATCTCCGTCCCCTTTTACAGCATGTGCCTTACAGTTCCTATTCGGCCAAACCCTTGGGGATGACGTGGGAGGCAGAGTCTGGCTCTGAGAGGCCAGTGCTGGCGTTGATGCCCACCTGCTCACAGTGGAAGGCTGGAACTCACTGAGGGTAAGGACCCCCCACTGTTCCCCGTCCCGGGCCTCACCTCAGGGGATGCAGGGCCCCTTCGTCCCAGACTGGCCTTTGCTTCCTTCTACCGGCCTTCATAGGGCCCTTACCTTCTGTGCCCTTCGGATTCCAATCTGGCAAGTGGGTATGCACGTCATGTCACAATTGGAAAAGCGCACCAGGAAAGCACAGGGCACACCAGGCCACAGGTCTTTGGCTATGTCACACCTGGGCCAAAAAGCCATAGAACTGCACGTCTTTTCTGCATCACTGGCTCTTGGTGGGTTGCTTTATTCCTTACCAGGAATATTCCTCACCCCTTTTAGACAGAAGACACTCTGGGAGCTGAGAAACAGAGCCCTGCTCAACTCTGGAAGCTGCTGGAGAACCTTACAACTGGCTGGCTCACTCTCAATGTTCAGCGAGCTGTCTCCCACACAGGGGTGACTCCACCTGGGAGGGGCCAGTAAACGACCCACACCCACCAGTACTAGAAACCAAAGCCCAGGGAGGTGATGTCAATCATCGGTGAGTCAGATATGGCAGGTCCCTAACTTTGGAAGTGAGCGGTTAGAGAAACAGCGGGAGAAGCACAACATCAGGGCCCAGAAACTTCGGAGTCCAGATGCGTCCCTCCCCACCCCCGTTGCCCTGCAAAAACACAGAAGTTCGGGCTGCGAACCTACGAGGGTTACACCCCCAGCGGCTCTCATCCAGAGCAGTTGCCCTGGGTGGGCATGCAAGCCTCCTCTTCCAGGCTGGACCCCAGGCCCGTGACCAGGGGCTCCTGAGCGGAGGTGGCCGCCCTCTGCTCCCTCCCTCCCTCTACCCTCATCCAGCTCAGCAGAGCCCCCAGCCCAGCCGGCCCCACTGGCTCACCTTTGGGCAGCTTGGACATGTTCTCCTGGATCCAGGAGAAGAGCTGGGCGAAGTCACAGTCGCAGAGCCAGGGGTTCCCGTCCAGGCGGAGGGAGCGCAGCGCGGGCAGCGCGGCCAGGGCGGCCACGTTCAGGCGGCGCAGGTTGTTTCCGTTGAGCTCCAGCACCTGCAGCGACTCCAGGGTCTCGAAGGCGGCCTCGTGCACGCCCGCCAGGCTGTTGTTGGCCAGGCTCAGCCTGACCAGCCTCCCGGCCGAGCGGAAGGCGCCGGCGCCCAGCTGGGTCAGGTTGTTGTAGCTGAGGTCTAGGAAGGCGAGCTTGGCCGAGCCGCTGAACGTGCCCTCCTCCAGCGAGCGCAGAGAGTTGTTCCTGAAGTCCAGGTAGACCAGGTCGCCGTAGAAAATGAAGAAGTCCTCGGGGATGTGCTGGATGCGGTTGCCGGCCACCAGCAGCTTGCGCACGTCCAGGGGGAAGGGGTCGGGCACGCTGGGCAGCCCGCGGTCGCGGCAGTCCACGGTGTGCGGGTCGGTGCAGGCGCAGCCCGCGGGGCACGCATGCCCGGGCCCGAGGAGCAGCAGCAGGCTGCAGAGCCCGAGCGCGCCGGCGGCGGCGGCGGGGGCGCGGGGGCGCATGGCGGGCCGGCTGGAGCGGCGGCGGCGCGGACGGGCTCCCGGGGCGAGCGCCGGCGCGGGGCGGCGCGCGGGGAGCCGGAGGGCGGGCGCGCGGGGGCACTGAGCGCGACGCGGACGGACTCCGGGAGCCCGGGGCGGCGGCGACCGAGGCGGGAGAGGCGGGGAGGGAGGGGCGAGGAACTTGAGAAGGATTTAGCGGGACAGGAAATTCACCCGCCGGAAAATCCCCGGGGAGAGGCGGGAGCGGTGGCCGAGTGGCCGTCGCCAAACGCGGCCCCACCTGGGCAGCTTATTTCAGAGACCGGGCGATGAGACCTGTCGCGCGGACTTGGCCCGGTGCGCCCGACGACTGAGTTCAGTTACGGAGCGCCCCACACCCCAGCGGTTTCCAGAGGGCTTGTTGGGGGGGTCTGCGCCGCGCTAACCAGCGCCCGCCTTGCGCCAAAGGGAGCGCGACCCGGGTCTCTTTGGCTCTGCGCCCCAGGCACGCCCGACGGGCCTGGGGGGCAGGGCCTGGGGGGCAGCGCCTGGGGCTGCCCACCTGGCGTTGGGCGGGGCTTCCTCCCCCACCCCGCTCGCACTTGACCCATCTCTGTGCGGCAGGCGAGCTCGGCTACGCCGGAAGCTGCCTGGCCCTGCTGTGGCCCAAAGGCGGGCCAGGGCCAGTCAGCATTTTCCATGCTGTCCCCGAGCTTGTCCGGGACCTGGAATCTGCCCAGCGCGGACCTGCTGCTGGTCTTACTGAGGCCCAGCAGAGAGGCACGATGCCCTGGGGTCAGGCCTGGGTTCTTCCTCTCTGGACCCTGCGTGCCCCATCCGTAGAAGGTGATTGGCATGACACCAGCTTCCCACAGATGCTTAAAGATTATCCTTTCCCTTTTGACTTCCGCTTCCCTCCACCAAGCCCCCAGCCTTGGTCCCCCGAGGAGGGTGGTCAGGGAGGCTGAAAGGACAGCAACGCCTGGGTGAGTTTAGCCTCAGATGCTGGCAGAGCTTTCCCTTCATTGGCCCCAAGCCAAACTCCTTTCTCTACCCCGCGCCGTTTTAGAAAGTTTCTAAGGAGTGGTCCCTATAGAGCCCCCAAGAGATGGTCCTGCTGCTGGTTATTTTGGTCGAGACACCTTGGAATTGTTAAGCTCCCACTGGACCAAAATAACCCCGGGAACAGCTGTTGGGCAGCAGGCCCCGGAGACCCTTCTCTGGCCCTGATTCAGATTGGTGGAGTCCTGGATTCTGAAGCTGCAAAGCTAAGCCCCCGTCCTCTTTCTAAAAGCACATGTAGTCTTGATGCGTTCTGATGGATCAAAGCCTGAGCCTCTGGGGCTGAGACAGCAGCTCAACAGATGACAAGTGTTTGTGGGAGCCTGGGGGCTGCGGGGGTGGGGGGCAGAGACCCAGGGGCCAGCTTGGCACAAAACCTCAGGTATAGTAGAGCTAGTCATGGAAATGTCTTAAGCACTGTTTTTGCTCAGTAAAAAACAATTTAAGATTTAGACCGCACAGGTCAATTATCCAATGAAAAGTTTAAAAACGATCTGGATGTTTCTAACGGTCCTTGGGGCCCTGCGCCTTTTTCCCTGCTTACACTCCAGGCCACCAGACCAGAACTCCCAAATCTGAACCCCGTGTGTGCTCGCATCTGAACCCCGTGTGTGCTCGTGCTCCCAGGCTCCCTAGTTTGCCTTTGTCATCCCCAGCAGCAGGGGTTCAGCCCCTGCTCTGGTTTCATCCCTTTGAAGAGGCAAGTGCTGGATGAATAGCCTGAATCCTCCCAGAGCGGGTGAGAGGACCCCCACGCTGCATAAATGGTCATTATTGCATTATTGGAACACCCGGGGGATGATTTGTTGTATCCTCCCCCTTTCCAGTCTCAGACTTGGTTCCTGCCACTCATTCCACCACAGAGGGGAGCCCGTGCCTTCCTGGTCCACCTGAGTACCAGGGTTGCACACCTGCATTTGCGTGGGCTGCCGCCTTGCACGTGGGTGCCAGCACTCCCCTGCCAAGCTGTCCCGTTGGCCGGAGCCCTGGCCTGGGAGTCAGGTGCCTGGACCCGCTCCTGGCCCCACCACTAGCCCCAGAACCTTTCACGGGCCACTGGATCTCTCTGGGAAAATTTCTCAGCCTGGGGTCCTTGGGCCCCTTGAAATGATCTCTTTAAAGAATTTCAAAAATTCTGGTGAAAATTGGTCCTTTACCTATGAGGAGGTCACCTAGAGTGAATGCGGCAATTCTTGTCACTGAACTCCGTGGCAGCCCTAGTTTTTCTGTGCTGAGTGGAAAGTGGCAGTCATGGGTGAGTTTGATTAATGAAAACAGAGATGAATTTCTACCTAATAAATGCAGAGCATTAGGCAAAACGGGGTGGTCGGGGGGAAATGCAAATAACAAAAGGGGCCCCTGGCCTTGTTTTCCTCATCTTAAAACAAGGGAGAAACTACCTTCTCTCTCCCCTTCTACAGGCAACGTGAGACCCATGTGGGGAAATATTGGTGGGGAAAGAGATCTGCAAAGTGGAGACACCCTGTACATAAAAGTGTCCATAAATCTTGTGGATTTATATGGCAGAAACTCCTTGCTTCTTGCTTTGTGTGTCCCCCGAACTCCCTTGAATCCAAATCTAAGCAATTATTTTTCATTAATATCAGCAAGGGCAGACACGGCTGGGGTCCACGGGGAGCAGGGAGGTTCCCCACATTCCAGGACTCCCATCTTTTGGGAAAATGCAAGCTTTGCCACCTCCGATTTTCCCCCAGCAAGGAAAACAGAGCTGTGACCTCAGCAAGGTCACACCATGAGTCAGTGATAGCGGCTGGAAATAGAACACAGGCATCCTGACTCCCCGGCTGCTCCACTCACCCTGCTCCCTATCCAGGAAGGAGGCCCCTTCCAGGTTGAGGAAAAACATTGCAGGTAACACGGACAGAGGCTTTTGGAGACCGTCAGCTCCCTTTCTGAGTTTATTCTCAGAGCCAACACACTTTGTGATTCCAAACTGGTGTGGCAAATACCCACAGTTTCATTTCAAACCTGGTATGGTGCCTTCCCCAGCTTGCCAGGCGGAAGTCCCCACCCCTCCTCTGCTCTCCCCAAGCTAGGCGGCACTTCTGTCTCGTTTTCTTATTGGCCCATGTCTGACTCCCCGTGGAGGGGGCTTTTTGGGGGCTGTGCGGATGGTGGTCCCCAGGAAATCCCCATGTGGTGCTGCTCCCTGTAAGCAAACACCATCCCCCGACATATTCTCCCTTTGGTTGCCAGACTGACCTCTAAATTAGCCAAAATCCTAGGCCCTAAACATAAGCAAGACGATTCCCGCGTGGTGTGTGCAGGAGTCTGAATTTAGGTGCAGACGCTAGATTGGAGTGATGACAGTGTGGCTGCTGTTGGGTGATGTCATTTGGGTTACTGGTGTATATCACCTCTGATGAGTCCTTGCTGACCTGGGCAGGAATGAGGACACCCCGTGGGCCCCAGGAAAGGTGACGCACTCTGGTCCTTTGCCTGGGGCTGCCCGACTCCATGGAACCGGCTCTCTGCTCCATGGACACTGCTGTGTTTCTGTCCCCCCAGCTGGCCAGCCCCAGGTTCCTTCAGGTGGCATCCACTGCCCTTCCTCACAGCCGCCACGAGGGGGCACGATGCAGCCCGCACTGGTGAGAACTGAACCCTGCTCTCTCAGGGTGGCAGCTGCCTTTCCTAACCGCTGGGTCTAGGTGGGGTGGGGGCAGGGTGGTGAGAGGCAGTAACAATGACTTCTGTCTTGCTCTGACAAGCCTGGCTCCACTTTTGAGAAGAAGAGCTCCTCCCCCTACTTTCACCCTGGAACCAGGAGATGAATCTTGAACCAGCCTAAATGGAAGGCAGCGTCTGGTGGCGATTAGGAAAGAGACTTGGGGTCCAACAGATCAACATCAAATCCTGGCTTTCCCATTCACTGGCACTGTCACCCTGGGCAAGTTGCTTGACTTCTCTGAGCCTCAGTTTTCCCATCTCTGAAATGGGATAATACTAGTACCCACTCCACTGGGTTGTTATGAGATTTAAATGAGGCATCTATCAAATGCTTAGCAGTGAGACTGACACAATAAATGGTAGCCACATGATTATTTACTTCTCTGTCTTTTCATCCATACTAGGTAAAGATTTCATGGAGAGGGTATGTTTCAGGTAATGAATTTAAGTGTTTGTTTCTCTGGAATTCATTTGTTAGCGATGCCCTAACATTCTAGGGTCTGTTTTAATAACTCTCCCTGCCCTGAACCATATTCCTCACTCCATCTGTAGCCCACCTGAGAGACAGCAGACAGACCCACACACCTTAGCCCTCTCCTGCTCCGGCTGACTTCGTGAGCACGGTTATAGGTGAGTGGTTCGCCACCCCCAACACGACCCTGGTGTTGGTCTGAGCTTGGGCAGGCCGGTGAAACCAAGGACAGAGGGTCAGTCCCTTAGCCGGGCACAAGGGCACATCTGTTCTCTGCTCACGGTTGGTGCTCCTAATGCTGGCCAGCCATCCAGCAAATGGGTGACCTTGGGTAGGTCCAGAGGAGGATGGGGGTAGTGCCACCTTGTCTTCCTAGGAGGAGAAAAACACAGAGCACATGTCCCAAGAGTCACAGGCACTGTCATCCCACAGGCAAGAGGCACATGTCCCAGCAGCCTCAAAGATCATCCCCGATTCCTCTTTGCTTGCCCGCACCTCCTTCCACTGGTGGGGGTGCTTGGCTCTCCTTCTCTGCCTCCCCTCTGTTCCCTCCTTGGTCCAAACCAGCATCAGCTTTTTCAGAGATCCCCTGGGGCCTTCCTGCTTCCGCTTTTGCTCACCCCCCACCCACACTCCCAGGGCTCAAGAAAGCCAAAGTGAGCTTTTGAAAATACATGTCAGATCATGTCCCCTCCCTGCTTAGACATCTCCCATGGCTTTTTGTGTGTTGTAGGCAGATTTCTAAGATAACCCCCCATGGTCCTCACATCCTGGTATTCCTAGAGTGAGGGCAGGA